AGTCAGCCCGCTGAATTTATCTTTGTCTCATCCCAGCAGCATGCTGCAGCACAAGAAACTTCATCTCGACAAGCAGATTCCACTGATTAAACAAACACAAACGCTGAGCCGCAAAGCAAAAGTTCGGGCAGCTTAATCCCAATAAACTTTGCAAACCAAAAGCTTCACGCAAGGGAGCGCCCAACGTCAAAAGGTAATCAAGACATCTCCAACCTAACAGCGCTGCTTCAGAAAGTAGGCGGAGATTTTCCGTGTCACCCAGCAGCATGCTGCAGCAACAAAGACTTCAGCTCCATAAGCAGTGTCCACTGATTCATCCAACACAAACGCCGCTTCCGCAAGCAGTTTGGCATGTGCCCAATCTCAGAATCTCCGCCTCGAAGTTGATCATTGAAGGTCCAACGTCTGGTCGCTTGGACCGAAGTCCAATACACCGCCTTCCGGTTTGGCTGCTTTCCGTGCGAAACCTGCCTCCCGGGGAAAAAACACACCTGCGACGGGGGGCTCGGTGGGCCCCATGTTTCATGCATGCAGAACTGGACCCCAATGGGCTTTGGGAATCCAGGGCTCTTGGTGAGTTCTCCATGGCTCCATGGCTGGTCATAGCTCGTTCGTTTCCCATCGTCATTCTCGACACTCAAGCCGTACCACCAAGCGGTGGTATAGGTGGAAAGCCCTATATCTCGCCATGTATATCAATCTGATGCGCAGTTAATAAAATCATTATATATTCCAGCACCTCCAACAGGTCACCAATTGAAACCCGTTAGGGCCTAACAACCCTCCAAGGAGACCTGTTGGAAGGTGCTGGTTGATATTGATATTGATAGGGTACATGGATGGTACGTTTTTGAGAGAACACTCGCCAAACAAACAACTCATGTTGATGATCCAAGGTTGCACACCACCTCCCGAAAGCGTGCACTTTAGCTATGCTTGGGAAACAGAGCGTGTGTTATGAGCTTAGCGGGGATGGTTGCGCTGGCGTGGTTCACGTGGACCACCTGTGGTTTGGTTCGTCAAGCACGTGCAACGTCAGACTTCCAGGGTATACTTATATATAGTATTTAATATAATGCATAATGCTAAAAACAATAATAGCTAATGGATGAATATGCTGCGAGAGAGAGCAATGAACTGCTTACCCTCGACTCTTAAGGGGTCCTCCATTCAAACGATCTCTGAGAATGCAAACCAGAATATTCATGTAGGGTTATTAATCAACCGTCTACATTGAACTACCCACCTCATCTGAGTCTACCCCCTGTCAGCCCCAACACAATTCTTCTCCCTGCCATCGGATGCATCAGCGCCCGCTCTGCCCGCTCCGCATCGCGCTGGAGCTGCTCATTCTGCTTCGTCAGCGACCTGGGTGTCCCGTGAATCTAGTTGAAGCCTGAAAAGGATTGAAGCCTGAGAGACAATCACTTGTCTACATGGAACCGGGAACCGTATATCCACAGCGATGCAGGTTCCTAGGAACAGGTAACCTCTGCTGACCCAACAAGAAAGCAATCCACAAACTGTCCTGAGCCTTTGGGCTCATTGGACCCTAATAGCTAGGGCAGCTAGGTGTTTCACCCTCACAACTAGGGTTTGGGACCTCAAACATGCAGCAGATTGAAGGCCCATAAGCCTCTGGGTGGAGAAGAAAACCCTTCCACGGAGTAGTTACCTGAAACTCTTCTTTCAGAAACCACATTCAGAAGGGCTAGCGGCTAGAATGCAAGATTGACCCTGAGATGTTGGGCCAACCAATCTGAATGTTGACGGCTAGAAACAAAAAACATGTGGAGGTCTCAATTACATGACATGGATTTAATTACACTGGGATACGAGTCGGATGCGAGGATGTTCCCAGCTGATACAACCAAAATCTGACTGGTGCGACTTGTATGCCATAAGGGCAGTTAATTTTGTCTCCAATAGAGACTCCTCTGGATCCAGCCCCCCCGCATTCCTTACGAGTCACACCAGTCAGAGGTTCAAGGCAAAATGCTTCTGTTTCGTGGACAAAGCACCGATCTTCCCCCGACTTGGCGCGAGCTTTCCACCGATCTCCGAAGCCTTTTTTCGAGCTTCCGGGCGCCACTTGTGCCTTTAAAGCGAGGACCTGGTCAATGCGAGAGGATGCGTCCAAAAAAAGCTGGTAGACTTGGGAAGTCATTGAAATAGTAAGCATCCTCTTTTACGCCAGTACAGGGACCTTTTGGTGCCCATAAAAAAAACCAACAAACGACCGACGCGCAAAAAGGAAAACGCACTGGCCAAACACCCAGGCTCCATGTCAACAAACACCAGGGTGCTGAGAGACGGATCCCACAGACCTGTCTACTGTCTGTTATACTGTCTGTGGTTCGAAAACACGGAACATGACCTCGAAGGCCACGAAGCGGGAGACCCGGCCTCTTGACCATCCGAAGGCCCTGCCCATGCCTTGCACAGCGGCATGAAGATGGGCACTGAAACGATGCACCGGGACGAAGTCCAATCACAAGAAAGCCAGAAACAGTTTGCGATGTCACCCTATTTGTAGCCTCTACGAGTTAAACAAATTTTTGAGTCAACCCTGTTTGCTTCACTAATTGTTATCCTTGAACTTAAGATTCTATCTCCATGGTTGCTTTGACAAAAAGTGGGCGTAAAATGGCCTAAACACCTCCTGCAACTTCTCCCCTTTGCGCCTCGGCCATGTCCAACTGCGATCGCAAGCGCTGGGTCACCGCCCGTTCCCACAGCAAAGCCTGCTTGGCCACCTGCACGAACCCGCGATTCGCTGGACGCGCGCACAGCGTCATGCGCCATCCCGAGCCATGCTGTCCCGAGTTTCATGGCCGCCGGCCGGGACATTCCTTTGGTCCTGTCACCCGTGCGGGAGGGTCTCAGACTATGGCCCCCCCCGGAGGGATCTCAGACCCAACACTCCGTCCACATCCCAACGCTGTCGAGGACACCCTGTGACACCCATCTCCGGTCCTTCAACTTCGCCAGCAGGTCATCCCGCGAAGCCTACAGCGAGTGAGCTCCCCCAAGAAATCAAGGCATGTTTGAAGCTCGGTCCATTTTGAAAGAGGGGGGGGAAAGCATGTTTAAAGCGCGTGATCGTGGTCCTTTTAAAGAGGGGTTGGGATGCCATAAGATTCACTCGGACCAACGGATATATTTATAAACAGTGAATCTCTTCGCATGTTGCAAAGATCATGCAAGATCTTTCTGCTCGTTCACCCTCCGCCCTCTGCCCAGCCACATGAAAAGCTGATGCATGCATCATCACACAGAAAACCAGTTCGCCTCCCTTCTGCAGCTGCTTCCTAGAAATCTTCCTTTGCATGTGCTCAGTTTGCAAAGTTTGCGGACATCTGCCGTCCCATCTCATCCCTTAGAGCTCCAAGCTATCCGGATAGCTTGCGCCCATCCGGCCCCGAGGCTTCTCCGCGCGAAAGGCACGTGAACTCCAGGAGATGTCACTCTGTGATTCGGAGAAAAAAACACTCAGCCTTTTGGGGGGTTATGCCATCCATTCCTTTTGGGAGGGGCCATGCCATCCATTGAATATTTCCAGGGAGTGTATCCACCCTAAGAATCCTTGGGCCCGGGTCCACCCTAAGAATGCCCAAGAGCCGCCCATACAAAACATATCAAACCCGTCCACCCTAGTAGCTTCTTGTTACTAGTAGCGATGGCCTCCAACCTAGGCCTCCACCCTAGTAGCTTCTTGTTATAAGGGAAGGCAAAATCCAAGTGTGTATGAACCCTCACTGTGGCTTTGCGTGCCGTTTTTGACCGTGCAGTTCAGAGACAAGAAAAAGGGGGCGGCCCCGTGGCACGCGCGGACTGTGCCAAGGCCGCAGGTTTTGACAATGGTCCTTTCATGCAACACGTTCTTTAAACAATAAGTGTCACATGATCACATGCTTGAATGTAAAACCTAAAACATGCGTCCAAAAACAATAGGACCTTAAGTGATGCGATTTAAACTTGACCAAACCCATCCAACAAATATATGTCCAGAAAAAGAATGCAATCTATCGCGGGCGCAGAAAAATACATATACAGCACTGAGCAAACGCTCATTTTTGCCGGGCCACCGCACATGAAAAGGCCACACACTTTCAGTACAATTTGTTTGGATGTCACAAATGGGTACGTGCGGTCAGTTCCCAGGCGTCCCAGGGCCAAGGCCAGCCAAGGTATGAAAACTTACATGGCACCAATGTGGACCCATGCATTTCAGTAGAGCTGCGTTGGCGAAATGAGTTTTACTTCTTGGATCATGGTTACTCAAAATCAAGTTGCAAAAACATTAGAAAATGAATGAAGAGGAATGAAGAGGAAGACCAAGGTAGACCCGTTTTTTAAAACCTCATTTTCCAAAGAGAACACGATAGAAACATCAATCCTGCTGCGTTTCCGCGTACCATCTGTCGCCTCTTCATCCGCCTCTTCTCCGTCACCTTCCTGGCAGCGGAGCCAGTCGTCGCTGCCCTGGTGGCGACAGCAACACTAGTTGGAACAGGCTCACGCATTCACATACATTCACAGGTGGCCCCAAAAACCTGGCCACTTGTGACCCGCATGGGTACCTTTTTGCAAAGTGCACATTCAGCCACACACAAAGCCACCAAAACATTCCACAAATCACCTGCTTCTCAAAGCAACTCCACAATGAGCACATGGAAGCACCATGCCGGCAAAAATAGGTCCATGACGCACTTGCACTGCGGGACAAACTTAAACTTGTATTACAGTGACCTCAACCCCCCAAGGCCATGCCGGAGCACCACTCACGGTTCATCCAACGCCAAACTTCAAGGACAATCACTCTGAACGCCATCCCCCGCCCCGCCTCTTCCCCGGCCTCTGCCACTTCACCGCTGGGTTCGCCCCTCTCCTGACACCCACGGTCATGGCTGGGCGGTCACTAAGGCCCGGACATGCACGGATGGGAACGAGAAATACATGTGCATCCCACCAACCAGCTTGGATGTCGCATTCCTGAGGCTCCCTGGTCCTTCTGGTCGCAACCAAGATGGTATGTGCTGATTACATCAAGCTTGCTTCCCGTTGGAAGTGTTTCATCTCATTGATTCTCATCACTCGACTGGCCAGTCTGGTGCTGGAAAGGACGTCTGCTCATTGATCAACACGGACGTCTGTCGCTGTCACCAGACCGTGGCGGTTGGAGATCGAACCACCTGCTCTACCTCACCTGAAACTGCGCCTACCACCGCAGGAGTGCAAAAATGTTGAACATCATGACGGCCAACATGTAGCAATGTGGCAAGTACAGAGTGAGTCTGGCTTCCACCATTAAGCATAGCTTCATCGGCATGAAGCAACGCGTAAGGCCGCCTCCCCCGCCATTAGTACACCCAAGAAAAGTAAAAGAAAACAACCTGTGAACCCAAGGTGCACACTCATGGCAGTTTGAGTGAATAGTAGCCGCTTTTGACTGTAGTTTCTATTCATTCATCAATCATCATCAATCCAGGATTCAGGATTTGGAAACCAGGCCAATGACACGGTACGCCAAACTGGTGCTACACCTCCTCTTGCCTCCAGTGGTTTCTTCCGCCCAGAACAATCCCAGCCGCCCACTCCGAACGCCGTTCCTCTGCTTCGGCTGGTTCGGGAGAACGCATGGATCTGGAAGACGAAAAAGGACCCCTTCGATCCACATCCAAGTGTTGAGGATGGTCCAGGTGTTGAGGATACTTTTGATTTATGGGGATTCCCGCATAAAGTCGCCGTGCCAGGCACTTCGCCTGCACCAATGGAACGGAAGGTCCTCGTGAGGTTCGGTGGTGATGGCCGCAGCCCAAGAAGCGGGAAGCCTTGGCAAGCGCCCAGAGCCGACCAGGGCGGCGAAGACCCTCAAATGCGAAAATCCCAACTGTTGGGAGTGCATGTATCATTATATAGCGCTATATATGCAAGATCCTTTCAGCAGAAATTCTTGTACCAGGTGCCTCTAGGTATATATAAAAATATTATGGTGAAACAACATGGTGAGACGGCGACTTGCAATGCCAACGTCGCCCATGAGCGCAAAAATTATTTTCGGTGGTCGGTGGATGGAAGTTGGTCTAAAATAACTCCCTCCAACGTTTGGTGCGTGGCTGGAACAAAAAAGCATTCCAAAAACCAGCCAAACTTGTCTGCATTATCTATCGCTCCATGAACCAGCAGCAACCCCAGGGTGAGGTACGAAGTTAACAGGAAGCAGGCCCGTCTGCTGCACATCTTCTTTCACGCGAGCACAGTCAATTTATGCCAAAAGCTCCTCTGCACCGCTGCTATTAAGCATGCAGTGCAGCGGCAATTCTCCGCCGCTTGGCTGGCACCACCTCTTTGGGTACGGGATGGGTGTGTATTTTCATAGGGAGACCCCCGTGGCCCAATGGATTCTTGGTGTGCTTCTCTTCTTCCAAAAACTCCGAACGCCGCCGGGTGGTCTCCCTAGGAAGGAGCGACTACCTCTCTCCAGCGACCTTCGACCGGGTGGCACCTTAGGCGTCACTCACCCGGATCGCCACCTTTCCATGCGCATGGCGACTCTTCTGGATCTCAAAGGCCTGGAGAGAGGGCGGCCCGGAGGTTTTTTCTGGGACAGGAGAGGGCCTGTATGGTTCAAGGAAGATTCCCAACAGCTCAAGCAAAAGATTAAGGGGAAAGACTTGGGCTTCACCAGCAGGGTGCCAATCGCAAAGAAAGATAAGCTCAATTAGAAGATTGATCCCATTCTCTAATTTATTCAAAGAAGGACCTGATCCATGCCAAACTCAGCTGGAGCAGGATGTTACGTTCTGCAGGTGACCAGGAGAGGTGACCAGGCTGCGAAAAGGTTACTTTCACGCTCTCTGGGGATGTCTCACTCTCACCGGTGACCGGTCGCTCTGGTGTGTCCGTGCACAACCAAAAAAACCGCCTTTAGATGCTGCAGCATCTGGTGAATCTGTTGTTTTTTCGCGTCTGGTGGTGTTTTGCCACACTTCTGGAGGGAGTGGATATTCCCCCCCGCTTGCGACCCACTAAGAATCGCCATCCCCTGCGATGCCCATCTACCTTTAAATGTCCAACCTGACCTCCCCGGCCATGCATCGTCATCGCGCACCAGTCACCCAGGGTGAAACTAGTCCGCGAGGTCCTGCCAGTAGATCATTACATGGGTCTGGCAAATTCCCCTTGAACATCCTTGAACCCCATCGATCGGCAAGCCATCGAACTCCATTCAACCCACCAAATGAGTGATGAGCCAAAACAACCTGGAGCCCGCAAGATCCCGCCAGAGCGCGACGCACGACCTAAGCCTGGGTCAAACCGGTCAAGTGGTCCGTCCACTGGTCGGTACCCAGATCCGAGACCTGGAGGGGCCTCCTAGGGCCATTTGCTCCGCAAACCCATCAGATTCTCCTCAACCCCACCGCCACACCGCGCCGCTGCACCACGGTGCACCCCTCGCACGGCTCCTTCTGCACGCTGCTCGCATCGAAGGCGTGGAGCGAATCCAGCACCACTCGCAGCTCCTGGGTCTGGTCTCGCACCCCAAGGGCGGGTATGGGGCCAAGGGCCAAACAGTGCAAAGCTGGGTGAAGGAGTCATACCAGGCACTGCAGAAGTCACATGGAGTTGGGTTGCTTTTGTTCGTCCCATGGAGTTGGTGGATGTGACAGAGGCACTCCGACTTCCTCCCAGTTCGGCACCCCGTCGAGTGCCGTGACTCCTGGTAGTGCTGTGTAGTGAGGGTTACCAAGGGGTTTTGCAGGGCTTGAGACCTGAAGCTGCCACCTCTTTCCATTTGAGAGTCTGGGTTCTTCAAATCGACGACCCCATGGTGAATCATTTGATTGGATCCAAACCGATCAGCGAACGCCCGAGCTTGACTTTCGCCTTGTTGATTGGGGATTGCTGGGTTTGGCAACTGGGCCAATCAGCTAATTAATCCCAAACACTATCCCAAACGCATCCATGGTCAAGAAAAAGAAATGGCGACAAACCATCCGAAAGACTTCTCCATCATAACATGCATGCATTGCATACATGTACATGTGGAAAAGACATGAACAAATGCGAACGTCGATCCCCGGAAAGATCCAATGGGTTTTTCACCCGAAAGGCATCCCAAATCGACGTGAACATGACGTGAACGTTGTTCCGGAAGGATAAAGGCTTGGACTCTGAGTCTCTGGGTGAAGGTTTCCACTCAGCTCCAACCACAGCTTGAACAAGACTTGAACCACTCAAGAGGGGAGTCCATGCTTGGTTTGTAGAAATTTTGGAGGCCTATTTTCGTGGAGTCTTTGGGTGCGCTCTCCTCTCCGTGACGAAAAAAACCGATTGCATCAACTCTCACCCTGCGAGGACTGACCCTGCTGGTTCTGTGTGTGGTGTCAAAGTGTCATTTCGCTCCACGAGCTGCAGGAGGCGTTCCAGATGCTTTGCCTCTAAGCCTAGGTGGGTCGAACATAGAAGTCTGGTAGACTCCTGACTCCTGAGTATTATTACATTGACATTACATCTCGCACATTCTTGCACATACTTCATATAAGAGAGAGAGAGAGAGAGACAGAGTCTGAGAGTGAGTGTGAACCAAGGAAGACATGTATGGCCATGCAGCTGCGTCAATTCCCAGCCTAAGGCTCACAAGAAGGCCATCCAAAATCATCCAGACCAACTGCTCAAAGGAAATAGGAAACTACTCTTCCCCTCCACTTCCGAAAGCTAAGCTCTTCATTCCTATTTGACCCACGTCCACATGTTTGCCAGTGACGCCCCCCCGGCTGTTCCCCGACCGACCGACCGAACCGAAGCCCTGTGGCAGACCCCACGGGTCTAGCAACCGATGTGGTAGGTCCAAGCCGGCTTGGAGCGAAAGATGGAAGAGGACCAAGCGTGAGCCTGCATGTCATACCTGGGAACGGATCTACCGTGCGCACATCCAGGTGTCCTGTCTGGTGACCTCTAAGCAGTGTAGGCTGGTCCGTTAGGTAACCCCGAACGGAAGCTGGTACAGAAAAGAAAAATACCTGTTGAATCTCGGGGACATCCTCCAACGAAATGGTGAGTACTCAGGTGCTGATGTCTTGCAATTAGTAGAACGTCTAAGAAGACGTCCTAGTTTACAAACGACAGAATTCACCATAAGTCATGATGGGCCATGATGAGTTGCAAGGTGCACCAGTCCCTTGGCACTTTTGGCCTCTCATCCACATCCTTCGGGAGCGGCGAAATCGCCATCGAGTGGATTTCCCCACACCGTCCGCAGGTCACAAGGGTGACAGGTCGAGGTCCAGCCTCACCGTCCGGAAGCCGCGTCGTCGCGTGTGGCTCGTGAATCCCGGCGAGCAGACCCGAGTCCATCTGTGTCCGATGCCTACGGCAGACCATCTACGGCTTGGCCATGCAGGGACCCACGTCGGAAGCGTCTTGGACTCAGGGGTTTGCTGCATCGAAAGCCGATTGTGCCATAGAAAAAATAAAAACAAACTGCGTCCGGTCCCCAGAAAAGCCAGGATGAATCATGTCGAGGTGCATGATCCTGAATGCATGCCACCAATGTTTAAAGGCCTCGCAAGCCACAAGCGGGGCGCTGTTGGTGGAACCGTGCGGGTGCGTCTCGGCTTGAACTCGGGTGTTCATGCCCAATCTGTAAACGACGATGTTTGAGCTGCAATGGTCAAACGTCCTGGACTTCCCAGTCAGCAGCTTTGTGGCTTTGTTCACCGGCTCTATCTCGGTCTATCTCGGGCTCCGCCGGTCTTCCGAGATCAGTCTCATTCACTGTTCCTTCGGAGTGGCACCCAAGAACATGTGGCACCCAGTACCAACGACATCTGGTCTGAATGAATCAGGTATAGGGGTGATTCCGACATTCACCAGAAATACTAAAGAACCCCTGCCGACTAGATCAAGGAAGTTCTTCAGGTGAATGCTTTACCCAACCTCATGATCATGATGTTCTTCACAACATGTGCGCACATGGAGCGATGCCAACCATGGCACCATGAGACAAGCAATATAGGTAGGAAGTGTTGATTGAAATCAGGGGGTAGCGTTGGGAAGTGCTTCAACCTGACGCGGGTTAAGAAGCCTCATCATGGTCTGATACCCTGGATTGGTCGCGCTCGGTCTCCGTTTGATTATAAGGCTTCTTACGTAGCGTCCCACCGCCGACCTCTGGCCGTGGAGACTATGACTCGGATTGGCGTCGCGCAGCAGCATCGTTCGACCCTATGGTCGACCCTAGGAGTCGACCCAACCCAACCGAAGGCCATGGAGTCGGACCATGTAAGGCGTATCTCCCACCATCGTCACATATCTGCCACCTGGAGCCGCGCAGCATCCCGTCCCGTCGAGACGGGGTCAGTAAGGGCAGCCGAGAGAAACGGACAACGGGTGAACACCTGGACAACGGGTGAACGGTCAGTTCAAACACCCGACGGGACGGGAGAGATCGTTTGTGGGAAGCGCTTTTGATATCGGACTGGTATATTTACCGATCAGGCCAGGGGTGGTGCCAGGGGGGTCAATGTAGGCATATATTCCTTACATGGAGTGTATGGGTCACACTCTTCCCCTAGCACTCAAACGTGCAATCATCCAAGGATGGAGACGGCCATCCTTGAAGAATGGAATGGCCAACCTGAAAACGACAGAAAGAACGGAATGCTGAGTTTGCCCAGCAGCTCTGGTCATAGATTGATTCATTCGAGATGCGAGAAAAAAAGTGGTAAGATCTGGTAAGTCAGTGAATAGACTGAAAGGAATCTGGTCTATATATTCCATTCGTTCTTGCCCCACCCTTTGGGTCTAACATGACCGAGCACGACCTCGC